TAAGGAAGAAAAAGTTGTAGACATAAAATCTGCTAAAGCTTTTAAGTTTGAATATATCTACTTTAGAGAATTGAGTACATTATATAAAAACTTTTTTGAATATGTAAAATGTTTCGGATATGCTCAGTAAACTTTCAGATATTCATAAACATTTAGATTTCCGAGGTTAATTAAAGTATTAATCACCACTATGTACATGCAAAGCAACTGAATTAGTATTAAAAGCCTACAATCAAAACAAAGCAATAACAAAAAACATTTCACAATATTAATCGTGTGTAGTTTCATTGAATGTACTATATATATAAAGCATATTTCTTTGCCAATCTGGTGTGTTGAATTTTGCGTGATTTTAATAAATTTGATCAAGGAACTCTGGTGGTTTAAATGGATAATTGAACGAACAGCTCGTGCCATTTCAAAGTTCCCTCTTGCTACTCCTGTACTTTTATTGCCCGTATTCAGTAGGCCTGCAACGCAAATAATTCATATGTACGCCGTGAAGCCAGTGAAATAAATGCTGCGCATGCCATGTACATTTGCTACTAATGTGTATAAAATTAACGTTGTTAAGCTGTTTGGTGCCTTGAAGTCTCAACCAGTTGTGAGTAGCTAGATAGACCAATTTCGATTGAATTTGTTAGCTGAACTCTGGTAGATATCCCAAAAATCGAGTTTAAATGGACAAACAATCGGACGAACGATTCGAGTTTTGCAACCATATCAGTTTGTTACTACGTGAAACCGACTCCAAACGAAAGTGATACTTATAGTTGAGCATAACACCGGTACTTCTGAGAAATGTTACAACGTGAAACCGACTCCAAACGAAATTGATACTCATAGTTGGGCATAACACCGGTACTTCTGAGAAATTTTACAACGTGAAACCGACTCCAAACGAAAGTGATACTTATAGTTGGGCATAACACCGGTACTTCTGAGAAATGTTACAACGTGAAACCGACTCCAAGCGAAACTTTAAATCGGAGAAAGGGAATTCATTTCTAGTGTCATTTTTTTTTTTTTGTCTGAGCGGTTGGACATACTCTACCTTAGTGCAATGGTACATTTCTCACTGTTATTTTGGAGTTGCATTGATGTGGTTCAAAAGTATCCGATAAAGTACGTGTGAGTGAGCATAAAACCAGTTTATTCTACTTTAACTTATTATGCGAAGTACAGCAAGTATCAGCGTTTAGGCAGACTTGTATTCTATGAGAGATATACAAACTCGAGAGACATACATACTTTTTTTTTATGGCGCAAGCAACAGAACGTAACACACCCATTTTACAAAAGTTTTTATTCACATGTATCAGGAGGAAAAAATATAAATTTAGAAATGTTGTAATTACAAAAAGTACATATCAATTACTTTAATGCATTACATATTCCTAAACCAAAATAGCAAAAAGTAAGTTCATACTAAACAATAAAATGAACAAGTACCAGACTCATTAACCATGGTGGACGTAATAGTGCGTAAGGAACAAATCTAAACTACCGAAGAAAAACACAAACATAAAAAGAGGGAGAAATTGTGGACTAGAAATTATATCTTATGTGTATAGGATTGACTAAGTCGTTCACGCTGTAATTATTTTTGTTAAATTTCGCGCGAAGCTACTCGTGGGCTATCTACGATAGCCATCCATAATTTTAAAGTGATAGACTAGAGGGAAGTCGGTTAGTCAACACTTAATTTTTGGGCTACTCTGTTATCAGCGAATATTGGGATTGAACGTCACATTATAACGTTCCAACGATTGAAAGGGTGGGCATGTTCAGCGAAGGGTTTCGATCCTGTGACTTGCAGATTGAGAGTCGAGTGCCATGTTCACCAGGCCATCCACTTTGGAATAATATCGCATTTTTGCAATAATTGCACGTGTTCTTCAGTCGAAATGAGGTTGATAAAAAATATAGGAAAACAAACAAATGACGTTTTATATTAGTTAAAGCTTGGCAGACTTTACCTTCTCCTGTTCATGTAAGTTTCTTACAACTTTCATTTATAGGTTTGTGCTTAACTTCGGGTCAGTCACAAGTGACTTTACAATTGTTGAAATTAATCAAATGTTCAACATATTTTAACTTTCACTGTCGTATGATATTAATCCCAGTATTAAATGAAAGACTGAAACATACACTCATCAGGTACTTTTGATCAACATTATACTAATTTTTTAGGGAATGCGTTTGTATGTGTGTATTTAGCTCGTATAATACTTTTATATATCTTATGCAAGTACATTTAAAATAACTGTGTGTACATCTATTTATGTATGCGCCCCTAGTGGCACAGCGGTATGTCTGCCGACTTACAACGTTAGAATCTGGGTTTCGATACCCGTGGTGGGCAGAGCAAAGATTACCCACTGTATAGCTTTGTGCTTATTTACAAACAAACAAATGTATGTATATGTGTATATATATGCATGCATAAACGTACGATATATATATATATATATATATATATATATATTATAAACGCAGCTGAATAAGATATATTAAAGTATTATACGAGCTGAATAATGGGTAAATGTACGAATCACGGATCTTATTTCATAAAGTAGGTCACAATAATGAATAATAATAAGGTACAGAGTCCAAGTGGCGGCTGGTTGCCTCCTCATGTTCGGTAGTTCGGAATATAGAACAGTGCAGCGCCATCTGGATAATAATATATAACGAAACACCTACCGCGACGGGTAAACATAATTGGAAGGAAGAGAACCTGTTCTTTGGCTGGTGTTAAACTTATAGCTATTAATAATTAATTAAATAGAAAAATTTGTGAGGAGGACTTCTGAAAAGATAAAACATTTTGTTATTCACACCAATAGTTACAATTAACCCAACTAAATGGAATAAGCCCCCAGTGGCACAGCGGGATGTCTGCGGACTTACAATGCTAGAAACCGGGTTTCGATACCCGTGGTGGGCAGAGCACAGATAGCCCATTGTGTAGCTTTGTGCTTATTTACAAATAAACAAACAAATGGAATAATTTGAGAATAGCCTAACCAATGGTACATTTAGAATAACCATGTTAAAACATTTGAGAATAGCTTAACCAATGGTACATTTAGAATAACCATGTTAAAACTCTTACTGCCTCATACTGATCATGATATTAACCCTGAGAAAGTGCATGGATACCGTGGTGAAGCAACACACCAAGCTTCAGAAGGAGCAGTATGCAAGATTCTGGACAGGGTATGTAGAACTGGCACTGTTAATAATAAACGTAGTTGACCGAGACAGCAGCTGGAAAGCAATATAGGCACAGTACAGCAATCTTTGTTAAAACATTACTTGTCTTCTTGTAATGTTATGTCACATACACAAACAATCCATAGACCATGCTTCACTGGCATAAAGCTTTATTTAACATAATATTGTCTTCTTGTAACATTATGTCACATGCACAAACAATCCATAGACCACGCTTCACTGGCATAAAGCTTTATTTAACATAATATTGTCTTCTTGTAACATTATGTCACATGCACAAACAATCCATAGACCACGCTTCACTGGCATAAAGCTTTATTTTCCATAATAATTGATGTGTATGATTTCTTATAGCAAAGTCACATCGGGCTAGCTGTTGTGTCCACCGAGGGGAATCGAATCCCTGATTTTAGAGTTGTAAATCCGAAGAGTTAACGTTGTCCCACCATGGGATCAATAATCAATATATTTTATTTTGTACAATTCCTCAAATGGAGGTATTATTTTAAATTAGCTTCGCTTAGTCACCTGTAACACTACGAAGGTTTAAAATTCTTTCATTAGAATGATTTACATATGCAAATACTTTGATGTGTAACTGCAGATGTGAACCAAATATGTTAAGTTCACAGATACTCTATGTAGCGGATTTATATGCTATATCGAAATCCCGACCATTTAACGGTGCAATGCTGCCATGGGTAGTTCTAGATGAGGGATTTATAAACCTTTCCAATGAAACATATTCATAAGCGAACTTGTTAAACAATATATAGAAAAATGATGCATCATTTAACAGATGTGAACCTTTATTAATTTTCATAGAAGTAGAAAAATTTTGCACATAAGACCATTTAGGACAACAACCGGCTATGAATTTACCCCCCCCCCACCCCACCTGCCAGTTTGAATAGGTGCGACGTCCTCATCTGAGAAGTGAAAGCTTTGGCTGCGAAAGGGAATCTTTCCACCCAAAAACGTATTGTGGTGAAGTTGTGCATATATCTTGATGTTATAAACAAGAACAAAAAATGTACGAGCTTCTAGCAACATGTCGAAATCAAAGGCTGTTTTCCTAAAAAAAATTTGCTGAAGAAACTGGAATTACGACAATTCCGTTCGACTACATGCCAAATGTAGTTCTAATGTAATGGACTTTTGTGTCTTTAATTTGTAAATCCGATCCTGGAAGCCGACATCTAGTTCAGTGAAGGGTCTTACATTTATTTATTTTTATTAAGTGCAAAGCTACAAAATGGGCTACCTGTGATGTGCTCACCATGGGAATGAAACCAAGTTTTTAGTGTTATAAGCCCCGATTTACTTTTTGAGCCACGGGAGGGGATAGGATTTTAGAAAGCTTGTCAAGATGGTTTGTTTAAGATTGGCCTCTCTATTCTTCATAGAAGCTTATTCGAACGTAATTGTTGTATTCCAATGGCAATAATGCGTACTCGTGACTATTAAATTGAGCATTGTGAAGAATTGTGTAAGTGGTTCCGATTCAATAGTGGCGTTGGAACACCGTTTTTTTGCAGTGTGATTAACCCTCTACCTGGCAGTTATAGTAAATACATAATCATTTTAATGGATTGAAATGATGGTTTTTATCAGCTGTTTCTCATCTCCAAACTGTTTATGGTGTGTAGGAGCTTTACTATGCATTCTTATTTGAGTTGTTTATTCTAGCTTCATATAATAATGTTGATATACAAAAACACAAACACACACACACATGCATCATATTTCAAGCTGGAAATATATATATATGTATATATATATATATATATATATATAATCTTTATCACACGAGCATTTCTGGGTGTAATAAATGGAAATGATTATAAAGTACAATAGTATTAAGCTTAATACACAGTATTCCTTAATATATGTTTCATTAATATGTAAACATAATATTGAAGAGTTTTTTTCTTTTTACAAAATACACAGTTTTAGACTTCATTACAAACAACAAAAACAATTAAACTTTAAAGACGAATTCCAATTGTTTCGCATCATCTAATGTGTCTTCTTTGAAGCTAACTGGTTTATGCTTTCTTCTAGCCAGTCCATAAAGTACGATACCCGTGTGTAAATTCCTGGATAATTGGGTTCGGCACAACGATATCCAAACGAGACAATTCCAATAACGGTCCATCTTCCGTTGTTTTCTTTTATCATCAATGGTCCACCAGAGTCTCCCTATTATAAAAATAAGGTAATCTCACAGAATCAATGTTTAAATCCATCGTAGTACAATTAGTCAATTATTAAAAAAACTTGATATCGGAAAGAAAGCTGAGTTAAATAAAATGCTGTTAATGAGTATTTCTTTAAAAACCTCATTTTGGGAAAGTAAGAAGTAAAGTGATCATTATTAGCAATCCTATTTTGGGAAACATCCAATTTATCATTCAGTTTCTATTTTCTTTCATTCCAAAAGACAACCACGCTGTCTAAACTGTAGACGACTCCTATGCTGTTAAAATTTGAATTTATGACCCCTTGTCCTATTGTTTTCACTGCTAAACACGAAGAAGTTTGTCGGATCTATATTATTAATACCCTTAATAATCTTAAACACCTCAATAAAATTCCCTCTGACCCTTCTCCTCTCCAGAAAAACTAGCTTAGAGATTTTAGTCTCTCCTCATAGGACAATCCCACCATCCCAGGTGTCATCCTAGTGGCTCTTCTCTGAATCTTCTCCAACAATTCAATGTCCTTCTTGAGGAAGGAAGCCCAAACTGTACACAGTACTCTAAATGAGGCCTTACAAGTGATATATATATACAGTGAAACAATAATATCTCTTGTCTTGTATTCAATATTTCTATAGATGCTACCCATAATCCTATTAGCCCTATTGCTAGCTACAATACACTGCCTAGATGACTTAAGTGATTTTTCGATCACAACACCAAGATCTTTTTCTTCAACCACAATATTTAATGTATTCCCATTTAAATTTTCACAATA